AAGCTAAAACTGAAATTCGTTGACCATCTTTCCAACTCATCTCCAACTATTCCCCAGAAGTTGCTGTAAGATAGTAAGATGTCTTTTGAAATTATACAATCTCTCCGCAGTTTTGACATCCATACTTTCTTAGTTTCGACGTTGCTTTAACGCGCATATAACGCTCAATGTTTTGTAAATAAAGCCCCGCTAGTTCAGTTGATTAGTAGGGCAGCCCAGTTGTCAAGAAAGTAGGTTCTATGTGAGGCATCTTCCCAGGGTTATCGATATGTGTAAGTCCTCGTCTTTCCCACCTAATGTTTACTGAAATCATTTTACCCTCTATGGATTTGCAGCATCATGTAATAAAGGAAATCATCCCCAAGAAAATAGTCAGAAACAAAACGACGTTAACTTTATAAATGAGATGTTAAAGACTTAGTTCACGGTAAAAATGATTTTTGAGATTTTCCTATAAAATGAACTCGAGGTTCCCCCTCATACCACACCTGTCGATAGAGGGGCGAAAAACGTTCTGAATATAACACAATAAGGTACCAGAGATTGTAGTGTGTAATCCCTAGTGGACAAGTGGACAAGTTTCAACGGCTGTGTGAGGCTGCACCATTCACAAGGGAACCAATGTAGGAAGTTCAAAAAACTTGTCATAACCCATGGCGACAGTGGAGGACAGTTTCTGACAATTTCGGCTTGGCGTAGTCATCTCTTTGAGCAATGGGAGCAAGTTAAATCTCGTCCAAACATCCCTTGCATGCCGTTCCTGTGCCTTTAATTAAATTGAAATGCTCAGAGCGTAGCCCAACTCGTAGACAATTGTGAACAGATGGATCGAATCTTAAGTATCGCATTTGTGTAGAATCTTTAAGTTATATGACGGACGGTTTTGTGACAGTTACAGTGCTCGTTTACGTACAGAAAAGTTTAGAAGTCAATACAAAGACGGTGCAATAGGCTAAAAGGGTTCACCACATGGCAACGAGAGTTGAGGTATCATTCACAGAGCGAGTTGCGGCGAGAGGCAGTAGTACAGCAGACAACAAAACAAGTGGAAAAACAAAGTTCATAAGGGAAACTTGTCACTTTCATTAGACGTAGATCCTTCAGGCTTTGATTCGCTCTGCCACAGTGTCCAATTCCACTTGGCTGCAAAAAATTTGATGTTGCCAATAGCGAAGGACCGGAGTGGCACAGTGCTCAACGAGAATATAATTTTCAAAGGGGAAATAGCCAGTCTCTGAAAGAGCATCGTACATAATAAAGAGATTATTAGAAAGCCAAAAACTATAATAATTTCGATGTTGAAGAAAGGGTGAGACTGCATTATTAGTAGGAGATTTTCGAACACGTAGTCTTTGTCGCTTAGGTCATTTTGCATGGTGCATGTCACCTTAGTTGAATTATCGCATGTACCAACGTAGATTGATAGATCCAAGATTTCAGACCTGATGTGAATCAGTTCAGTTTTCGTCAATTGCGAATTTGACTATTTCTTCAGTGTGTTGGTGGGCACGCCCGCTCCCCGTAAGGGCATTCGTTGACCCAGAGGTTGTATCACCCGTGCAGCTCAATAATCACTGGAGTAGTGATGATTCAGAAAGCTTTCGCCGTAGTGATTCTAACCATTCTTTCCGCAGGTACGATATGATATTTTCTTTTTATACTTACGTTGATAACCAACTAAAGTAACGACTGCTTACGTCCACCCTTTCATCATGGGAAGCGACTGTTATTTCTGTTTGAAACAGTCGGCAAA